CTTTACCCCACTATGCCACAGCGCTGGCTACTTCTGTGGTTTTTACTTCTGCAAGTACCTCATGTAAGTGGAGTCAAACAGTATTTGTCTGTGACTGGCTGATTTAACTTAATATAACGTCCTCAAGGTTCACCTGTATTGTAGCCTCAATGTCAGAATTTCCTTCCTTTTTAAGACTGAATGAATTTTCCATTGTTTTCTCCTATTCCTTTTGAAATAGTTTGAAAACAGGCTCAGTTTGAAGGATTATGGAAGATTTTTGTCTACTGAGGTGAATTAAGAGGGTAGAACTGTTTTTTAATTTTGTTTTTTAAGGTTTATTTATTTGAAAGGTAGAGCCAGAGAGAGGGAGAGACAGAGAGAAAGGTTTTCCATCTGCTGGTTCACTCCTCCAAATGGCTTCAATAGCTGGAGCTGGGCCAGTCCAAAGCCAGGAACCAGGAACTTCTTCTGGGTCTTCCATAAGGTTCAGGGGCCCAAGCACTTGGGCCATCTTCTACTGCTTTCCCAGGCCATGGCAGAGCTGAAACGAAAGAGGAGCAGCTGGAACTCAAACCGGCATCCATATTGGATGCCAGCACCACAGGTGGGGGCTTAATCTACTACACCACAGCACTGGCCTAATATGGTAGAATTATTATACCATGGTTTAGGAATTTTTTAAGTGTGTTTTTTTAAGAGCAGTTTTTTAAAGATTTTTATTTATTTATTTGAAAGTCAGAGTTACACAGAGAAGGAGAGGCAGAGAGAGAGAGAGAGAGAGAGGTCTTCCATCCGCTGCTTCACTCCCCAGGTGGCTGCAACTGCCGGAGCTGCGCCGATCCGAAGCCAGGAGTCAGGAGCTTCTTCCATGTCTCCCATGCGGGTGCAGGGGCCCTGCCTTCCCAGGCCATAGCAGAGAGCTGGATCGGAAATGGAGCAGCCGGGTCTTGAACCAGTGCCCATATGGGATGCCGGCGCTTCAGGCCAGGACGTTAACCCTCTGCGCCACAGCGCTGGCCCCAGTGTTTTTTTTTTTTTTTTTTAATAACAGTAAAATATATAGAACATAAAACTTAGCCTTTTAATCATTTTAAATGTACACTTCATTGGCATTAAGTATACTCACATCGTTATGCTACTTTCACTACTGTCCATCTCAGATTTTTTTCATTATCTCAAAACTGAACATGTATACCCATTAAAAATAATTTCCCATTCTCTTCTCCCTAGCTGGTGGAAATTGCTATTCTACTTTGTGTCTCTGTACAAAGGTGCCTATTTAGACACCTCACGCAAGTGGAATTATACAATATTTTTCCTTTTGTCCAATTGGCTTATTTCAAATAGCCTAATATTTCCCATATTTGGTTTGGGGAACTTAGAAAGCTACTCTGCAGATGCAAAATTGATGTGTGGTATCACTTTGGAAAACACAGCATCTGTTTCTTAAGATGTAGCCATTTCTGGAGAATAACGTAGAAATAACAGTTCATATTTTTGTAGAATTTGGATGAAATGAGATTTCTGTATTTCCATGGGCTCTCTTCCAAGTATTAGTGTCTTCCATTTTCTTATTAAGGCTTTCACTACAACAGGCACTTTCTGGACGTCAGCTGCAGGAGGAGACGTGTAAGTAGTTCTCAGCTCTGCTCTTGGGTGACTGTGTGTAGTGACAGTATTGGCAGCTAGCATTTGTAGCTTTTGCTCTCCTTTCTTTGAAAATACTCCATATATTTACATGATTTTGCATTGTTTTAAAAGATTTATGTATTTATTTGAGAGAGTTACACCCAGAAAGAAGGAGAGGCAGAGAGAGAGGGAGGGAGAGAGGGAGGGAGGGAGGGAGGGAGAGGGAGGTCTTCCATCCGCTGGTTCACTCCTTATTTGGCTGCAGCGGCCGGAGCTACATGGATCTGAAGCCAGGAACTTCCTCCAGGTTTCCCATGTGGGTACAGGGGCCTAAGGACTTGCTTCTTGGTCTCCCATGCGGGTGCAGGGACCTAAGGACTTGGACCATCTTCTACTGCTTTCCCAGGCTGTAACAGAGAGCTGGATCAGAAGTAGAGCAGCTGGGTCTCGAACCAGTACACATAGGGGATGCCAGCACTGCAGGCGATGGCTTACCTGGTACACCACAGTGCCGGCCCCTTTTACATGGTTCTAGATGTACACTTAGCACATTCTTCCCTTTAAAATTGTTATCTTTTTATTTCTTTTTTTGTTTACTTTTCGCATTGGCTATATTTAATTCATTTTCACAAAAGCTCACACACAGAATAAATCTGTATGGTTTTTTCCTTCTTCATAAGTATAACTTTATCTCCATATTTGGTGGAAAGTTTGTAAGCTTTTGTTTTTAAAGGAGAGGAACAAATAGGTTGAAAATCTTGGTTTGGAACACAAGGCATTTTGCATCTTTTTAGGTAATATTTATATATTACAGATCCCCCCAAGTTTTGTGGATATGCACGGATTACAAAAGGGTGGAATTTAGAATTTAGAAATCATGTGATCACGAATCTTGTTTTAAACAAGTACCTTTTTTTAAGATTTATTTATTTATAGTTTTTTTTAAAAGATTTATTTATTTATTTGAAAGGCGTAGCTACAGAGAGGCAGTAGGCAGATTATTATTGGGTTGTCGAGTTTCTTCTGACCTGTTGGAAAAGGCTTTTTCAGGCAGGTTAGCTTCTAGCCTTAGGTTGAAATACAATCTTGGGGGCTGGCACTGTGGTATAGCAGGTAAAGCCACCACCTGCAGTGCTGGCATCCCACATGGGTGCTGGTTTGAGTCCCGGCTGCTCCACTTCCCTTCCAGCTCTCTGCTATGGCCTGGGAAATCAGTAGAAGATGACCCAAGTCCTTGGTCCCCTGCACCCGCATGGGAGACCCGGAAGAAACTCCTGGCTCCTGGCTTTGGATCAGCATAAATAATGAAAAAATCTTAAAAAAACAAAAATACAATCTTGTCTCGTATGATATGTGGAGAACTTGTCTAACTCATGTGTTGATGTCCCATTGATGAGACAGGTTGGAATGTAAAATAGTGAGAAGGCTACTCGAGCGGGGCAGGGGGAAGTAGAAGCAGGAAAGAGTTACAGTAAGACTTAGCAAAGTCATGTAACCAAAGTCTGGGTGAGTTGAATTTAGTGTGGAATACAAAGTAAAAATGAAGGTAGGAATGGTTGAATGAAAGTAGCGATGCTTATAAGAAGGTTGTGGTCAATTACGGGAAAGAGGGAAGAAAGGATAGAAGCATTATCAGTGATAGAATGGAAAATACAGGTTTTTAAAATGTACTAAACATATAGAAAAAGTGCACCCAAATGTCAGTGATCTCCTAGGAAAACACATTCAACATGAGAAAAAGTCAGACAAGGAAAAAGTATCAGGTAGGAAGAAAAAAATTTTGTTTCTGACATGATATATTTGCAGGTGTGATGGAGCATCCGTGGGAAGGGTTTTTTGGCAGTTGTTGCTGGAAATCTGAACATTTGATTATAGGAGAGGTGTCTGAGTACTGTCAGCTCAAAAACTGTGATACTCGTGTCCAGTCCAGTTAGTAGGATTCACTTAGTCTACAGAGTGGGATCATTCTGTTAGAGAAGGTAGGAATTCAGTTCTTGGAGGACCAGTTTTTATGATGAAAATTCTTAGCCATCGACTCTATACTTAATTCTGACCAGCTGTATTATAGATGCCTGCTGTTTGCTGTGAGAACCAGGTAAGGACATGGTTTTTTTGTTTGTTTTTTAATGTGGTTTGGACCCTGCCTAAGATATTTGTGTATGTAAAATTGTGTGTGTGTGTGCGCGTGTGTGTGTGAGTTATTTATTTGAAAGGCAGAGTTAGAGAGGCAGAGGTAGAGGCGGAGAGAGATCTTTCATCTGCTGGTTCACTCCCCAAATGGCCGCAATGGCCAGATCTGATCTGAAGCCAGGAGCCAGGAGCTTCTTCTGGGTCTCCCATGTGGGTACAGGGGCCCAAGCACTTGGGTCATCTTCTACTGCTTTCCCAGGCCATAGCAGAGAGCTAGATCAGAAGTGGGGCAGGTGGTAGCTTTATCACAATGCTGGCCCCAAGAACATGTTCTTGGTGTGTGTGTGTGTTTTTTTTTTTTTTTTTTTTTTTTTTTTTTTTGTGGACAGTGAGAGAAAGAGACAGAAAGGTCTTCCTTCCATTGGTTCACCCCCCAAATGGCAGCTATGGCCAGCACTCTGCCGATCCAAATCCAGGAGCCAGGTACTTATCCTTGTCTCCCATGTGGGTGCAGGGTGCAAGGACTTGGGCCATCCTCCACTGCACTCCCTGGCCACAGCAGAGAGCTGGACTGGAAGATGAGCAACCGGGACAGAATCCGGCGCCCCGACCAGGACTAGAACCTGGTGTGCTGGCACCGCAGGCAGAGGATTAGCCTATTGAGCCACGGCGCCGGCTGGTGTGCAAATTTCTAATAAAAAAATTCAGTACTGTGAATAGAAAGTCATTAACTTAGGTTGTCGTGTGTGAACAGAAACGTTCCATAAAGATATGCATTGAGATACTGAATGAAGGATGTATGTGGCAGCTTAAGCTGGAGGCAGATGAGATCTCCTTGGGGAGAGGGACAGGAGGTGTAGAGCCCAGGTTTAAGGTGTGCTCTTTAGGAAAAGGGGAAGAATTGCTTAAGGATTTGATTGACAGAGCAATAATCAGAGAGGTCCTTGGGAACCTGTAGGTAATACCTGAGAAACTTAACACCAGAGGAGTAAATTAATGGTTATGAAGACATGCAGGGAAGGAGTTTGCAGGGCCTAAGCACTTGGGCCATCCTCCATTGTCTTCCTGGGCCACAGCAGAGAGCTGGCCTGGAAGAGGAGCAACCGGGACAGAATCCTGTGCCCCAACCAGGCTAGAACCCGGGTTGCCGGTTGTGGGGGAGGATTAGCCAAGTGAGCTGCAGCGCCGGCTGGCATCATATACTTGTGAGAATTGTAGGTAATCAATTAAATGTCTCTTCTCTCTGCTTTATTTCTCAGGTCACAAAGCCCTTAAAGCATTGTTGAGGTCATTGGTGGATCTTCAGGAAGAGTTGCTGTGTCAGTACCCAGACACTAGGTACCTGGTAGATGGGACCAAGCCTGAAGTAGAAAGGTAAGGAGGAAATGGAGCTGCAGAGTTACTTATTTTCTTTTCTTCTGGCTGTTTTTTGTCATTGATGCAAGAGAAAGCCAAGTTAGGTAAATAGTTTTTATACTGGTTAGGAAATAATGACGAGAAAAAAAATAGTCTTTAATGTTCAGTACAGATGCAATTTTTTTTTCTTGTATATTTTCAGTCTTCGTTTGGTTGAATTATGTGGACGTGGCACTTGTAGCTATGGAACCAGCAGATACGGAGGGCTGATTGTATCGCAGTTTAGTGCTGATTCTGTTGCCTCTCTTTTGAGTTTTAAGTTTTTATTTATTTATTTGAAAGACAGAGAGAGAGAGAGAGACAGAAAGAGATCTTCCATCTACTAGTTTGCTTCCCAAATGCCCACAATAGCCAGGGCTGGGCCACCCTGAAGCCACAGCCAGGAACTTCATCTGGTTCAGGGACCCAAATACTTGAACCATTATCTGCTGCCTCCCAGGGTGCATTAGCAGGAAGCTGGAATGTGAAGTGGGATCAGGACTTGAACCTAGGCACTCGACATGGGGTGTGGATACCTCAAGCAGCATCTTATCTGCTATGCCAAATGCCTGACCCCTTTTGAGCTTTTTTACATTCAGCTTTTCTGCATTTGATTTGAATAATATCATTTTCCTTTCCTGAGCATTTGGTTACAAAGAGGCATGTTTCTCTTATTGATTTGAAGATTAAAGTCATAGAAATATGGTTATGGGGGTTGGCGCAGTGGCATGGTGGGTAAAATTGCCACCTTGCAGTGATAGCATCCCATATGGGCACCAGTTTGAGTCCCAGCTGCTCCAATTCCGATCCAGTGCTCTGCTGTGGCCTGGGAAAGCAGTGGAAGATGGCTCAAGTGCTTTGGCCCTTTTGCCCACATGAGAGACCTGGAAGAGCCTCCTGGCTCCTGGCTTGAGATTGGTGCAGCTCCAGCCAGTGTGGCCATTTGGGGAGTTTACCTGTGGATGGAAGACCTTTCTCTGTCTGCCTCTCTGTAACTCTGCCTTTCAAATACATAAGTAAATCTTAAAAAAAAAAAAAAAAAAATGATTATTTGTTTAATTTTTAAAGACTCTTTTGTGATAGTACAGTCTGATTCATGCACATTTCAAATAATGATTTTATAGCTTTATTTTTATAATTTGCTTACCTTTCGAAAGTTTTTTAAAAAATATTTACTTATTTATTTGAAAGAGTTATGGAGAAAGGGAAAGACAGATAAAGATAGATTTTCCATCCGCTGGTTCACTCCCAAAGTGTCCATAATGGCTAGGACTGAGCCAGACTGAAGCGGGAGCTTCATCTTGGTCTCTCCCTTGTGGAAGGCAAGAGCTCGGGCAGTTGGGTTATCTTCTGCATTAGCAGGGATCTGGATCTGAAGTAGAGCAGATGGGACAGGAGTTGGCACCTATATGAAATGCCAGCATTGCAGGTGGTGGCTTAATCTGCCATGCCACAATGCTGGGCCCTCAAAATTTCGAAACTATTTCTTTTAATATTTATTAGAAAAGTCACATGAGCGCTTGATTGACCTCATGAACATTCTTTTCAAACAAAAAAGCCATCCTCCTAGCCAGGGTGCATTTAAATACTCAATGAACCATAGAACTGCTGGTTCATGTCCTGGTTGCTCCACTTCCAATCCAGATCCCAGATAATGGCCTGGGAAAAGCAGTGGAAGATGGGCCACATGCTTGGGCCCCTGCTACCATGTGGGAAACTCGAATGAAGCTTCTGACATTGGCCTGACATTGTGGCCATCTGGGGAGTGAACCAGCAGATGGATGATTGATCTCTCTCTTTACCCCCATTCTTCCTTCCCCCACCCCTGTAACTATGACTTTCAAATAAATAAATATATATATATTTTAAATTGTAGACAGAATAGTAAGGCCTAAATACTCTCTGTGTGAGCCCTGTTCTTTATCTGCATGGTGTTTATTGACACTGGACTTGTGTTCTTACTGGTTTTCCAGTGAGGAGATTTCTAGTGAAGAAGATGAGGTGGTACAAGAGAAGAAGAAGCAGAAAAGGGCACCACCAAAGAGGAAGCTGGAGATGGATGACTACCCCAGCTTCATGGCAAAGCGCTTTTCCGACTTCACCATCTACAGGAACCGCACACTTCAGAAGTGGCATGATAAAACCAAGCTGGCTTCTGGAAAACTCGGGAAGGCAAGTGTGTGTGTACGTGTACACCCCCACATGTCAGATAGGTATCAACCTGAAACAAATTTTTTTTTTTAATGATTTATTTACTTATTTGAAAGGTAGAATTAGAGAGAGAGAGAGAGTGAAATCTTCCAACCCCTGGTTCACTTCCCAGGTAGCCATAATGGCTGGAGCTGGGCTGATCCGAAGCCAGGAGCAAGGAGTTTGCTCCAGGTCGCCCATGTGGTCGCGGGAGCCCAAGGACTTGGGCCATCCACCGCTTTCTCAGGTGCATGAGCAAGGAGCTGAATCAGAAGTACAGCAGCCAGGACCTGAACTGGCACCCATATGGGATGCCAACATCGCTGGTGGAGGCTTTACCTGCTAAGCCACAGCACTGGCCCCAACCTGAAGCAGTTTTTTTGTTTGCTTAAATTTTTTCTAAAGATTTATTTATTTATTTGAAAGAGAGGGAGGCAAAGGCGGGGCGAGGGGGGGGTCTTCGATCTGCTGGTTCACTCCCCAACAGCCCGAGCTGCACTGATATGAAGCTAGGAGCTTCTTCTGGGTTTCCCACATTGTATGGGGGCCCACACACTTGGGCCATCTTCTACTGCTTTCCCAGGTAATAGCAAAGAGCTGGATGGGAAGTGGAGCAGCCAGGACTTGAACAGGAGCCCACATGGGATGCCAGCACTGCAGGTGGCGGCTTTACCCACTATGCCATAGCTCTGGCCCCATGAAGCAGTTTTAAGAAATTGGAACTGCAGCTCATTTATCTGGATATTTTTTTAAAAGATTTATTTATTTATTTGAAAGTCGGAGTTACACAGAGAAAGGAGAGGTAGAGAGAGAGAGAGGTCTTCCATCCATTGGTTCACTCCCCAATTGGATGCAACAGCTGGAGCTGTGCTGATCTGAAGCCAGGAGCCAGGAGCCTCTTCTGGGTCTGCCATGTGAGTGCAGGGGCCCAAGGACTTGGGCCATTGTCTGCTGCTTTCCCAGGCCACAGCAGAGAGCTGGAATGGAAGTGGAGCAGCCAGGACTTGAACCAGCACCCATATGGGATGCTGGCACTGCAGGTGGTGGTTTTAGCCACTGCACCACAATGATGGCCCCAAGAAATAGTTCTCAAAACAATTATTATTAAAGGAGCAGAAGTTAATCTTTGGGCATAGGAAAATGATATAACCTGCTTAATACCAATTTTTTTTTTTTCTGAGAACAGTTACAGCCACTCACAGACTCCATTCTTAACAGAAAGCCCCTCCTGCAAAGACAATTGTCTGTTTCTTTGCTGACACAGAAAGATAAAGAAACTAATGTAGCTGCCTGAAGCACTGACTTTCTGCATTATCTGACACTGGTTAATGTTGTTGCAGGGTTTTGGTGCCTTTGAACGCTCGATCTTGACTCAGATTGATCATATTCTTATGGACAAAGAAAGATTACTCCGAAGGACACAGACGAAGCGCTCTGTCTACCGGGTTCTTGGCAAACCGGAACTTGCAGCTCAGCCTGTCCCAGAGAGTTTGCCAGGAGAACTAGTAAGAACTCTGTGGTTATGGGGAGCATGCCTGGTGAGACTAATTAACTGAAAAACCTGTAGGTATTACCTCTTTGTAAAAGAAGTTAGTGAAAGAGAGGAACACACTCTACTTGACTGGATTATTGAGAAACTGAGATTATATGAAAGGAGGAAGTTTTTAAAAAAGTGGCTTTTATTAATTCCTGTGTGTCAGATCCTCTGAATTTTGAGTTTGATACAGGAGTCTAGTAATAGCATTCGTAATCCAATTTTTTAAAATTCAGCTTTAGAGTTCTCTCTGTCAGCATTGAAGCAGGTGTGTACTTCAGGCTTAATGTTTGCCAGGTACTCTAGAAATGGACCTGAAAGTGGAATAAGTCAAATTCTATTGTATAAAGGGAATATTTTAGTGTTTTAATTATAGAAGTAATATGCATGCATTAATTTTTTTTATGTTCATAAGAATTTAAACCGGAAAGTAAAATTCCCCCTACTCTGAATATTTCACTCCTTAGGTTTAATCAATATTAATAGTTGTGACAAGCTTTCAGCGATATTTCTATCCATGTTTATATATATATATTATCTACACACATGTACATATGTGCATAAATATGGTTATCATTTTTTTTTTGACAAGCAGAGTGGACAGTGAGAGAGAGAGACAGAGAGAAAGGTCTTCCTTTTTTGCCGTTGGTTCACCCTCCAATGGCCGCCGCAGCCGGCACACCGCGCTGATCCAATGGCAGGAGCCAGATACTTATCCTGGTCTCCCATGGGGTGCAGGGCCCAAGCACTTGGGCCATCCTCCACTGCACTCCCTGGCCACAGCAGAGAGCTGGCCTGGAAGAGGGGCAACCGGGACAGAATCTGGCGCCCCGACCGGGACTAGAACCTGGTGTGCCGGCGCCGCAAGGCGGAGGATTAACCTAGTGAGCCGCGGTGCTGGCCAATGATTATCATTTTTACTAACTAGAATGACTGTATGTATTAACATAAAGCATGCCAACTGTATAGAAAGTCTTAAAACTTACTTTTTTTTTTTTTTTTTAAAACAAGGCCCTTCACAGGCTCTGTTGGTCTTTTTTTTTTTTTTTTTTTTTTAAGAGTTATTTGCTTATTTGAAAGTCAGAGTTACAGAGAAGGAAAGGCAACAACAATCTTCCATCCACTGGTTCACTTCCCAGATGGCCAAAATGGCCAGAGCTGGGCCGATCCACAGTCAGGAGCCAGGAGCTTCTTCTGAGTCTCCTATGTGGGTGCAGGGGCCCAAGTGTGGGCCATCTTCTACTGCTTTCCCAGGCCAGAGCAGAGAGCTGGATTGGAAGTGGAGCAGCCAGGACTAGAACCGGTACCCATATGGGATGCTGGCACTGCAGGTGGAGGATTAACCTACTGTGTCACAGCATTGCCCCCCAACCCCCGCTTTAAGTTTTTATTTGCTTATTTGAAAGATAGAGTTACAGACAGTGAAAGGGAGAGAGAGAGAACGGTCTTCCATCTTCTGATTCACTCTCGAAATGACTGCAATGGCCTGAGATGATCCAAAGCCAGAAGCTTCCTCTCAGTCCTCCACGTGGATGCAGGGCCCCAAGTGGTTGGGCCGTCTTCTACTGCTTTCCCAGTGCCTGTGTGGGATGCTGGTACCGCAGGTGGAGGATTAACCTACTGTGCCACAGCGCAGGCCCCACAACTTACTTTTTAGACATACTATATCCTGGACACTTTGCCTGTATTGTCACATGAGAGTGCCTGTTTTTCCTCATGGCTACAGAATATTCCATTTTGTACATACGTACTATAATTTATTTAAACACTGGATATTTATATTGTATCCAGAGTTAGAATCAGTCTATACAGGAAACATTCCTGAATATTTTTATTTGTGGGTGTGTGCAAGCATGTGGATCGATTTCTTGAAGTAGAAACGTTACATTAAAGAAAATCCACTAAATCCTGATGGATGTTGCCAAATTACTTCCAAAAAGCTGCGTTAATTTCTAGTCCCTCCAGTCATACTGAGTATTGCCAGTCTTATAGGTGAAAAACGGTATCTTCTCATTTAATTTGCATGTGTTCAATTAGAGTGGGGTTAAACATATTTTCATGTGATTATTTGTATTTCTTTTTTATCAGCTATCATGTTAATGTTTTTGCCTGTTTTACCACTGGACTATTTTGTTTTTTGATTTTTTTTGTTTTGCTTTAATTTTTATTTTAAATTTTAAGACCTTTTTATATCTTTTTTTAAACTTTTATTTAGTAAATATAAATTTCCAAAGTACAGTTTATGGATTACAGTGGCTTTTTCTCTCCCAAAACCTCCCCCCCCACCCTCACCCCTCCCATCTCCGCTCCCTCTCCCATTCCATTCACATCAAGATTCATTATCAATTATCTTTATATACAGAAGATCAATTTAGTATAAATTAAGTAAAGATTTCAATAGTTTGCACCCGCAACGAAACACAAAGTGTAAAATACTGTTTGAGTACTAGTTATAGCATTAATTCAGATTGTAACAACACATTAAGGCTAGAGATCCTACATGTGGAGTAAGTGCACAGTGACTCAGTTGTTGTCTTAGCAAATTGTCAAAATAAGATCGGAGTCGGCGAACTCAAAATGCTTCCATAGCCTTGGCAACTCATGACAAGAGCCATAAACAAGAGTGTCAGTTTGCTAAGACCTTTTTGTATCTTAAGGGATACAGTGCTTTGACTTACATTATTTATCGTAGCTGTGTTAGCCTCACAGTAATCCGCTCTTTCCTTCTCATTGATAAAGGAGGTCCTTCCTGAAGCCTCTGCCAATGCTCACCTGAAGGACTTGGATGAAGAAATCTTTGATGATGATGACTTTTACCACCAGGTGTGACTTTACTAGCTTCATTTGTTCCAAATCAGGTGTTAGCATTTTAAAGCAGCTGATAGACTTCTGTGAACAACAGGTAGCTTATTTTGGTATAACAGTCAGAATTAGAGCTGCGTTCATAATAGACAGTATCATTCTGAATTTGCTGCCTTTTTTTTTTCTTCCTGTTTTCTGTTTTCCTTTTGAAATGGAAACAACTATGGCTACTTTCTTAGGTGTTCCTTGAATAAATTATCTGTAAGACAGTTTGGGCTTCTAGGAGTTCGGTGGTTTATTTTTTCTCAGCTGTTTTTGATAGTGTTAATCGAGGACTTTTTGTTGTTAGCTGTTTAGAATGGACACGAAGCTGAAGGGCTGGTATCTCGGTGTTCTTGAGTTGCACTTCTGATTGTATTACCTGCTAAGCCTCTTACTGGAGATACTTTTTGTGCTTGTTCAAATCAGTTTAAAAAATATACATATATGTAGAGAGAAATTATCTGCTGTTGATTATATAACAGTATGGTGCTTCGAAGGCAGAAAGAATTGGTAGAAATTGAAATATGATTCAGTTCTCAGTATTATTTCACAAAATGCCTGCCTAATTCTTTCATTGACATTACTGCTGGTGTGGTAGTTTTTTTTTTAATGACTGGTGACTGTTAAGATAGACTAAACATGGACTACTCTCAAGTCTTAAATAAAGGGCAAAAATAATTTCTTAAGTTAAACTTGCTGAATGGCTTGAGGCTGTACCCTTTCCCGCTTAGTGGAGAATGGAAGATGCTGTCTAGCAGTTATACGCCAGTTTTTGTTGTGCAGTTGTTTATCAAGACAGTTTGCTTTTCTGCTGAATGTTGTGTGTTAACTTTTATCAAAGAATTTGCACGTGCTGAAGGTTTAGCCGTGGTGGCTTTATTGTGTGTATGCATATGAATGAGGGACCTTCTTAGGAAAGCTATATACAAAGCCAGAACAAGTGGTTCTATATTGAGAATAGTTTTAGTTTATCTTATAAAGAGAGACTATTAATCTTTGCATTTATTCTGTAATGTTCTATTAAATTATTGCTTGAATTTTTATTTTATTTTTAAAATTTATTTGAAAGGCAGTTACAGAGAGGCAGAGGTAGAGAGAGAGCTCTTCCGTTGCGGGATCACTCCCCAGACGGCTGCTATAGCCAGGGCTGGGCCAGGCCAGGCCAGAGCCAGGAGCTTCTCCCATGTGGGCGCAGGGGCCCAAGCACTTGGGCCACCTTCTGCTCCTTTCCCAGGCCATAGCAGAGAGCTGGATCAGAAGTGGAGCAGTCAGGTCTCTAACCAGTGCCCACATGGGATACTGGCAGGTGGTGAATTTACCTGCTGTGCCACAGCACTGGCCCCAGTTGCTGTGTATCTTAACAGTAATGATGAAGAGTAGGCAAGAGTCTAGTGTGACCTCAGCTGTTCCCAGCCAGAGGTTCTGATTCTTTTTTCCTTTCTTCCTTTTTTATATCCATTTATCTGAAGTGTAGGGAACTCTATTTTGTTGTGGAGTGTGTAAGGAAGTACCTGATATGGGATATTAATGCTGTATAATAGTGTGAGATCACGGGAGATGATCAAAAATGTTCCAGGCCTCATTAATTGAAGTATACATTGTTCCATGGAAAGTACACCATAAATTAAACAGGCTTAATAAAATAAACTGAACTTACTGGGAGAAGTTGGTTCTACTGTCAGTCTGTTGTCTGAGAGGGTTTTTTTTTTTTTTTTGGCCTAGAGGTCTATTTAAGAAGAAATAGCGTTACTTGATTGGCCCTTCATCCCAATTAATAATTTTAGCTTCGATAAATTCTGATTTCAGAGTTATGACTAGTCACTTCTTAGCTTTTCCCCTTGCTGGTTAATTGGGGTGCTGGGGTTAATCTAAATTAAAACTTAAACTAATAGAGGTCAGCAAGGCAGCTGAAACACCTGAGTGAAACAAATGGGGCTGCCAGGCGCAACTTTATCTTGGCTGTTTCCCAAGAGGGAAGTGGCAGCAAATTGGAGTTGTTTCAGCCTTCTGTAAAGGTGAATGATGGGTGACACTTGTTAATGTACAGCATCTCCGGAAGCATTCCAGATTGCTTTGCTACTCTTCCAACTGCTGCCCTCCGTGCACAGTCAGTAGGAACTGGACCAGTTGCCAACATCTGGCAGCACAGCAAGGAATGGGTGCAAGTCTTGAAACCCCACAGATTCTAAATATGGTGCTTAGCACTGTGCCGGCTTTAATCACTTACCGGTCTTTGGCAGCGGGCTACGACAGCTTATCCTAGCCTCGTACATCACGTCCTGACATCTGCTGAGCTGCAAAGCAGCTGCACATTCATTTTCTTTTCTTGCCTTTTCTCTTTGCTTCCTATTCCTCGTCTTCCCAACTCCCCACCCCCCATCTCCGTGCTGTCCACCTCCCTTCAGTTTTCCTCCCCCTCCTCAGTATGCTTCTTGGGAGAGATGATCTGTAAAGATTACTGCTTCATTGTGCACAAGTAATTGTGGTGATGCCAGGCCCTTGACAGACACAACGTAGCACCTGTTCTGCTGACCTGGTTAATTTCTTCTTTTGAGTGGGATTTGCCAGAGATTGGAGCTGAAGCCAATTCAATGATAAGTCTAAAGAGAATGGCTGTATGTTTTCTGTCACTTCCCAATTAAATTGGCTTCATAAAGTGGTTTCCTTTATTTGTCAGGGTAGTAAGCTGGAGCTAAGTGTTGCATTCAAAACTGGTACAATGTATTACAATAGGCCTGTGTGTGTGTGTGTGTGTGTGTGTTTTAAGTGGTCACAGGGGAGAGCTGGGTGGTGAATACATCCCTCCCCCTCCCTCTTTTTAAACCATACTTAGAGCCAGACTGTTGGGTCCCATGTTTTATAAGGAAGAGATTATAGCAACATTGAATTTTAATGTTTCATTGTAAGGGTTTAAAGGCTTACTTGGTTAATTCAGGTGTCATGAGATTGTGTAAATGCCCTAAGTGCTGAGAATGATGTGTGGGTCAGATTCCTCCCACCTCCACCCTTATGCATGTATTCTCACTCTCATTATCTTTTTTTTTTCTTAAAAGATTTATTTATTTATTTGAAAGCCAGAGTTACATTTATTTGTTTATTTGAAAGTTAGAATTACAGAGGGAGGGAGAGACAAAGATCTTCCATCCACTGGTTCACTCCCTAAATGACCACGATATCCAGGGTTGGGCCAGGCTGAAACCAGGAACCCGGAGCTCCTTTTGGGTCTCCTATGTGAGTGCAGGGGTCCAAGCACTTAGGACATTTTCTGTGGCTTTCGTAGGTGCATTACCAGGGAATTGGATTGGAAGTGGAGCAACCAGGACTCAAACGAGCATCCATATGGGATGACAGCATTAAAGGCGACTGTTAAATCTGCTGTGCCATAACACTGGCCCTATCTTTATTTCTTTCTTTTTCTTCTTTTTAAAATGATTTATTTTATTTATTTGAAAGGTGTAGTTACAGAAAGGGGCGGGGGGAGAAATACAGAGGGAGATCTGCCATCTGCTGGTTCACTCTCCAAATGGCCACAACAGCCAGGAGCGAGGAGCTTCTTCTGGGTCTCCTCTGAGTTCAGGGGCCCAAGCACTTGGGCCATCTTCTACTGCTTTCCCTGGCACATTAGCAGGGAGCTAGATCAGAAGTAAAGCAGCTGGGACTTGAACCGGTGCCCATAATAAGTGGTGGCTTTACCTACTTTGTCACAGCACTGGCCCCCAACTTTGTTTCTTTTCTTTTTTTAAAAAAGTTATTTATTTATTTATTTGAAAGGCAAGATTACCGAGCGAGAGAGAGAGAGAGAAAGAGAGAGAGAGAGAGAGAAAGGTTTTAAATCTGCTGGTTCACTCCCCATATAGCCACAATGGCCAGAGTTGGGTTGATCCAAAGCTAGGAGCCAGGAGCTTCTTCTGGGTCTCCCACGCAGGTGCAGGGGCCCAAAAAGTTGGGCCATCTTCTGCTTTCCCAGGCCACAGCAGAAAGCTGGATTGGAAGTGGAGCAGCCTGGACACAAACCTGCTCTTCTATGGGATGCCAGTGCCACAGGCAAAGGCTTAGCCTACTATACCACAGTGCTGGCCTCCCATCTTTGTTTCTTAATGGAATTTAAGTTATTAGCTCTTTAGAAATATGTCAGAATTATTTAACAAAGGTATATCTACACATGTATATATGTATGTACACACACTTTCATCTCTATGTATTGAGGAAATACTGAAGACAGCATCAGATATCATAAATATAACATCATTTTTAGAGTTCAGAAGAACTTTACAAGAAACTGAATCTTGAGATGTTAAGTCGTACAGCAAATGACAACACTAGTGCTTGATACCAGAAGTTGTATTTTTTTTTTTTTTTTTTAAGATTTATTTATTTGAAAGGCAGAGAGTTAGGGAGAGACAGAAGGAAAGAGATCTTCCATTCACTGCTTCATTCCTCTAATAGCAGCCAGGGATTTGGGCCAGGATGAAACGAGGAGCCCAGAGCTCTATCTGGGTCTCTCACATGGATGGCTTGGGCCCATGTGCCTGGACCATTTTCTGCTGCTTTCTCAGGTGCACTAACAGGGAGCACATTTGGAGGTGAAACAGTCAGGATTCAAAGTGACACTGTGGTAAGGGGTGTTGGTGATGTTAAGGGGCACCATATTACCCTTCTGTGCCATATACTGCCTCCCCTCAGTTTTTTAATATCAGAATCTGACCAAATCTTGTTTTTTCTGTATCTTTGTTTCTTAAATATTTCATTTTTAAGCCATAAAGATTTCAGTGTAATATTTCTGTTTTTAGTTTGTAAATAAATAAGCTTCATTTTCTTTGAACCAGAAGAAATATTACATGTGTTAGAAAGTAATTTTTTTCCTTTCAAAGGCAAATGATTTATTGAACTGTTGTTATTTAACAATTCTAATGAAAAAATCAACTTTATAATTTTGTTGCTGGTTTGTTTAGAACTTGAATTGATGAAAGCTTGAAGTC